TGGACATTCAGATAAAGGACATGAAGTAAGACATTTTATATGATCATCTATATATGTAAAGGCCAATCTTTTGTCTTATAATTCAGAGTATTTATATTTTAGTTAATGTTGTTGTAATATAATTTTTGGTTTAGTTATAATGATATGGACATCGAACTCATTGGGAAGACTGCTCTGGATTTCTGGAAGAAGTGGGAAGACATAGGTACTTATGAAACAGTTTTGACTTTGCGCATGTTTCGTCTGACCTATGATTCCGAAGGTTAGTGAGTGGGAACATTCATTTTGACTTTGTTTATATGATAATTTGGCTTCTAACATTTGTTCCCTTTATATTTCTAAATCATACAGGGTGATATCGTATAAGGAATGCTGGAGACCATTATGAAATAATTTTCAATCCTCACATAAAAGAGGTTTCTGATTATTTTGACAGGTAATTTTCTAATTGGTATTAATGTATATAATAAGTTTTATGGGTTATTTTAATTTTTTTCAATTATTAACTTGAAATTATTTTCTGTCAGGCTTCTTTTTACCGATATTCATGGAGATCCGAGCTGGCCATAACTTTAATCCCTCTACTTATATTTTAATACCAACTGTTAAACGTTCAAACATTATGTAATATTTTCCCATAAAACTGGGATGTATTTGAACCTACTTTCGTATATTTGTAATGAAATATTTAGTATTTATTTATGGTAATGTTTAATTGTCATTTTACTTATGTCCTTTAATATCATTGTATTTATTGTTTATATATTTTACATGTATATATGTATAATTTTGGATATAACATATACCATCTATATATAGAATTTATTTGAATTTAGAAATGTTACTTCCTCTATAGACATTTTTTTCCATCCAATATTTTACATTTCGATAATAATAAGATATTGCCAAATTATACAACTACAATATTTTAACGAGCATTTTTCATATTATGCCAAATTTAGTACCATACCAATTTATTACGGTAGACTTGGAAATTACATTTATTACGAGTTTTTATGAGTTTCTTTATTTATAATTATGCCACGCGATGCAACTATAACATTTTTTATGCAATTAACAACGTTTGCTCAGTATTGATTTTTTTTTTGTCCAATGCTCACTATTGATCTATTAACAACTTTACGTGTAAGAGTAATTTTAAATTAATTCCGATTGACGTTTGCATTTCACTGCTGACAACTAGTGTTAAGCTTTTCTCATTATCTTTGGAGTTGAGTGTAAAATATTATATAAATTATCGATGTTTTAATGTTTGTGGATTATAATCAATGTAGCAGATGAGCTTATAATCTTACGAATCAATACACATATATGAGAAAATGAATTGGGAGAATAATTATTTTTTTAAAATTTTATTCAAGATAATTAAGGTACAAAAAAAACAAAAAAAAAAACAGAGATAATTTTAGCTAAACTTCGAAGTTTCTCCTTCCACGTTTATTTTTATGTGCCTAAAATATTCAAAAACATATTATGTAGTTAACTTAAAACATATTAGTTAAACAAATCAATGTATTAATGGAATATTAACAGCTTACCCACGAAGATGTATCTAGGTAGCGGATTTCTGTCTTAACGAAGCCGCATTCTATACATTTCAAACCTATCTCCAGATCTAGATGGAGATCGTGTTTTCCGTTCTTGCAACGTTCATTTGGATCATCAGTCGATTTTTCTTCATCAAGCTGCAGATATTACATATTGATATGAACATCCAATAATACAGAAATTATTAATAAAACGGAATAATTTAAAGTTTAAATTACCTCAGAAGGAACCTCGAGGGCCTTCGCAGTTGATTTGCTCAGAAAGTCATTCATCTCTTTCCACATATTATTTTGCTCCATCTCTGATTCAGAAATTGGAGGAGGTGATGGTGTTTCTTCCACACCAAATCTCATGTTCAATGGTGGTGGATTAATTTTTAGTAATCCGTTTTCATCATAACGTTTATCTTGGTGATTTTCCATTTTTGTCTAATCTCTTATCAAGCGTTTAGGGTTGCAGAGTAAATTTTATAAGTATTTTTATAATAGAAGCTACCTCATATTTTATATAGGATAGGGTAGTTAAAAAATATTCAATGTCACCAAATTTCTATGTTTTCTTGGGAATACTGTTTCAACCAACCAGTTTGACTTTTTCACTTTCGTTTTTGATAAATGGACATAATATTTATATAACTCTTCTTCGTCCAATTCACATAACTTGTCTCATACAAAAATGTTTAAAAATTTGGATTTTCCTTCTTTACAGTTTGATTTAAACTGCAATATATGGTAACATAATATTGTGCTCCGATTATTTCGAACTAATATTTTTATGACGCAATTATGTATAAATTGAATTATCTAACCATATATTCTGGATTTTTTAAAATATAATATGAAAGATATTGATATACTGTTGTTACTTTCTATAACGAGATGCATATTGCAATCTTTAATTTATTCGTATATTCGTGTAAGCCCTATTTAATCCATCTATATATTCACATCATACTTTTATGAACTGCAACTTCATTTGTTACACTGAAAAAAAATTCTCAATATTCTCCATTTCTACTGCTATGAACAGGATAGGTAAGCATTCTGCGTCCAACTTTATTCTATTAAAAGAATCCTTGGTATAGAACTATAGAGACTTACTCTTTATAATTTCTTATCATACATTATTTGTTTCTTTTTAACTGTTTTAACAAGTTCTTATGATTGTTTTCAGAAATTATTCAATTTCATCTACCAAGAAAAAATTCTCCCAAGCGAAACAAGGTGGACAAACTAATGAAAAATACAAAATTTATTGTTTGGATGGAGTGTAACAAGATATACCCAACTGCCAGATTCATGCTCTACACTAAATTATCTCATCAATTTGTCTGGAATGCCACATTGCATGAGTGGAGGCCACAGGTGAAGGGTTCAGGAAATCCAACTATTCTTCAACACTATTCAATTTATGATGGGAAAATTTTTTATTTGGGTTGTCTGTTGAATATCATTAGAGGTCTTCACAGTTATGAAGATATCCGAACAGTTAATGGTGTTGTCTACGACACCTTCAGAGAAGCTTGCTCTGCAATGGGCTTATTCCCGGTCAATTAGATTTATATGTCTTTTTAAGATTATTTTTAAAATTGCATGCTGAATCTTTATTTCAATAAGTTACTTTCATTTTGTTGTTTTTCATAGTCTTAATTTTCTAAATTACGTAATACTACATTTTTAATCTTTACATATTACATAATTAATACAACAGTCAACCAATTAACATTTCATTAAATATACCATAACTTATAATTTATAGTTTAGTTAATAAACTGTTATAGTTGTAATTTAATGTATTGTTGATGCGGATTAATCGTAGCTTAGTTGTTAATAAGATAAAATATCTCAAATTTTGGAAATCTCTAATAAAATTGATCAACTTTTTAAATTTCAAATTTAAATGAAATACATAATATAGAAAAATGTGATTTGTTGTTATTTTAGATAATTGCTGCGATGAGAAATAATAAACCTAATATTCCTACAAATTTGGAAAATCGTAATATTTCAAATTAAAAAATACCAATTAAAAGGTTTTTATGTCTTACACAATATTGGATCTCATTCGATGTAAATAACAATTTCCTACATAAGCAAGGACAGTTTTTCTAAAAAATCCAGTGAATAATAAAAAATCAACAATAGCAAAAACTTATGGAAAACGGTATACATTTCTCATTACCTACTGATCAAAATTATTTGTATCTCTACTCTATCCAGAATTTGGTATAAAGTACTAATAGTATACTTCCTGTCGAAAGTGAGATTTCAGAAGTAATATAATTACAATAACTCTATGGCGATACAATGAATAAAATTACTTATTCTGATGCACAAGAAATATTATATAGAAAAACGTGTATTTTTCTTTCATATAAACATATTTTTTGTACGTATGTGTGAGGATCACATGAGAATAATAATTGTAGTATGGATTGTGCCTGAGTGAGTAATTGTTTGCTTGGTTAGTTGATCAAAATTCTCTTATGGTGTGTATTTATAGAATTCGTACAGAGTGACTCCTCATTTTTCTTCGCTGTGTTTCATATTTCCCAAAAGTCCTTTATAATTAAAATATATTAAATAATATTTGACTGATTTATTACAATTTCTTAAGGAAGATACAATTCAAAATAAACGAATACATCTTCATATATAATTTATAAAATATGTTCATATAGGTCACATTTCGATGAATAACTTATGAACATAAAATTAATGTATGTAATCATAATTACATGTATTTTTCATCTGCACTTTCTTCATTATACATACCTAATTATAATTACTTAGAATTTATAACTGCAAACATGAGCCAATTGTAAGACACAATCTAATTCTTATACTAATAACATACCATTCGGCCAAAATTGATAACACTCTAGTCCCACACACTGTCAAATATCAATATTATAAAATTGGATCCAAAAACTTAACAATATACCCGATAAAATTAAAATTTTAAAAAATATTCAAGCCCGCACATGCGTGCGGGCCAGTATCCTAGTACTCTATTAAATGAAGAACAAAAACTTCCATATTTTTGTCAATAGTTTTAAAATATAATTATATATTTTCTTATTTTAATTATTCTTTATTTTTTAAAGATATTTCATATAATAAATTACAAAATAAAAGTTATTTTTTAAATTGTCTACTTAAATAATAATATAGAGATTTTTTAAAGATTTTTTTGTATCATATCATACATTTTGAAATAACAGGGAGTTGAAAGTTGCCAAAAGGAAAATTACGTATGCTCTATGTGTCAAAGAGAAATTTCCAATATTTTTAGAATTAAAAAAAAAACTTATAATAAGTAGTACTATTCAAAATATGTCAAGATTTGATTGCAAAAGTCAATACTGGAAATTTGTTTGGCTAAACATTTAGGTAACTTAAACCTCAGTATTAATAAAATAATCATCTAAAAAAAACCGTGTTAATTTGTAACGCGAGAATGCGTGACGTTTCCTTAAAAAACGGCTCGTAGTGCAACAAGATGGGAGTATTCGATAACAACCAGAAATAGTCAGGAACAATTAATTATCACCGAACCAATTAGTTAACCGGTGATATAATGAATACGCCGATTTCGATGTCGATGCCGTCGGCGGCGCGTGGGCGCGTGCTATCGTTTTCAGAGAAGGAGAGAACGGAAGAGGAAACTGGAACTCTGGAATCGAGTCTGCTGCAGCTGATCGATGACAACCGTCGATCGTCGTTACAGCTCCGGGAAAAGACCGGTACGCAAAATCGAGTATTTTTTCCTCTGCTTATTCTGATAACAATCGAGAGAATAGATGTGAGATTTTTCACAAACGAAAACAGAGAGATCGAGGAAGGAGGCGATCAGGCACGCGGCGAGAACGGCGGATCTGCTCGTGAAGGCGGTGAACGGAGGAGTGGAGGAGTGTTTCGTTAACGAGAAACGGATTGAGGCGGAGATAAGATCTCTGGCGGTGACGGTGGCGCGATTCGGCAAACAGACGGATCACTGGCTTGCCGCTACTCACGCCGTTAATAGCGCCGTTAAGGTTTCTCATCTCTACGACTTAAAAAAAAAATCGTTTTGTCTTCTTTAAGGCTGTCTTGTTTGTTTGTTCGTTCATGGTGGTTCTGTGTTTTTGTGACAGGAAATAGGAGATTTTGAGAATTGGATGAAGACTATGGAGTTTGATTGCAAGAAAATCACTGCTGCAATTCGCAGCATTCACGAAGATCACTAAGAGCAACATTTTCTGGATCTATTGTGATTCATTCGCTTGATGGGGTTTTGATAGAGCGATGATAAAATTTCCAGAATGATTCTGTAAAGAAAAAACACCAAACTACTTTTATTGATCTTTAAAAATTGGATCTTGAGTGTTTTGAGAGTCTGAGGAGACATATATACCAATCCTTTAATGTTTCTTTGTCTGAGTAAGGTCCACGTTTTTGGATAAGTGTTTGATTATCATTTACTCGAAGGAGGATCATGAAAAGCTCTTTTCTTTAACAGGTTATCCCTCAAATGCAGAGTGAAAGAATTGTTACAGTATATATATTAGGGTCCTATATCTTATGCCATGGTCAGGTTTGTCTCATGCAACATTCATGGTTCATCGAGACTTAGGAAAAAAATAATGAAAGTCTATCAACAAACTATTCCAAAAACTTTGGGATTCGAGATTTAAGTAGATAATGAGATTAAACACAGAAAATCAAAAACACAGCTAGATCCTCCTTGTTCAAAAAATACTGAAAGATGATTTTTTTTTTTTTTTTTTGCATCTAACCATTTTATTAATCATAGAGTAAAAGGAGCATACAAATAGTTGTATCTTTGGTTGAATCCTCATCTTCCATATTTCGTTCTTAAGAGTAATTGAACCTGGAGGAGGTTCAGGCATATCTTCATCATCGAATAAATGTATTGATAACCAATAGCCCGATTTAACAGTGTACTGTGCATGACCTTTGTATAAGCCCAGATATGCTTATCCTTCTCAGCAAAACGAGATAAACGTATTTGTTCAGCTAAAGCGACATCCTCTGCATTAAGAACGACCTGTAGCTAGCTTATTTGTATCCCATCCTCGAACTCCATTCTTCCAAAGATCACAAACCCGTAACTCTGAATATAAAGTACCCTCTCCAGCCCGTCTTGGTGGAATTGTTGGTAACCAATTATCCTTCCAGACATTTGTATGTTGTCCATCTCCAATTTGGATTCTCAACCCTTTTTGTAGCAGTTCTTTACCTGCTTGAATAGATCTCCATCCATTAGATGGGTGACCTCCGCTCAACGACTCTAAGAATGTCGTTGAATTATGGTAACGTCCTCTGTAAATTCTAGCCAACAATGAACCTGGATTCTGCAATATTCTCCAAGCTTGTCTTGCTAGTAAGGCTAAATTAAATTTGTGAAGATCCCTAAAACCTAAACCCCCTTCATTCTTCGGTAAAGACAACCTCTTCCAAGCTACCCAGGCAATCTTACGTTAATATCTCCCAGAATTGTACAAATCTGACATTTCCGAAGCATCTGTTGTCTTTGAGATTAAACAAATCTGCGTATGATTCGAACGTGGTTTTAACACGTTGAGCTCAAAAAACTTCTTCACCATTGAACATACATCTGTGCTAATATCTCCCAGAATTGTTGATAGAAGGCTGCCGTGAATCCATCTTCTCCTGGAGCTTTATCTGGGTCAATATTAAACACACCTTCTTTAATCTCAATATCCGTAACTGGTCTAATTAATAACTCATTCATATCACCTGTGACTTTCTGTAATAGATTTGGGAATATCTCTGACAAACTTGATGTACTTGAAACTTGATGAAGTAACCTGTTTGTTTTTGGATCTAGATGTTGCATCTAGATTTTCATTTAGATACAACATCTAGATATTGTTTGTTTTGGAAACTAGGTTTTACATCAAGATGCTACATCTAGATACTAAATTGTTCGTTTGTAAATTTAGAAAAATTGTTGGATACAAAATATATCAAATAAATAAAAAGAACATACTTTTGAATTAATATTTTTTAATAAATGATGTTTTTATTAAATTAAGTTTTAAAAATATATAAAAATATTTTTTTCTGCATTTTTTGTGAGAAAACATGATTTTGCATATTTGACGGGAAAATTTTTTACTGAAACTTTGTTTTTGATGGAAAATCTAGATATCGTGTTTTTGGCGGTAAATCGAGATTTTGCGTTTTCGGTGAAAAGACGAGAGTTTTTGTTTTTGGTGAAAAATCGAGATTATGTGTTTTTGGCGAGAAATCGAAATTTTGCGTTTTCGGCGAGAAACCGAGATTTTTCATTTATTGGCGAGAAATCGAGATTTTGCGTTTTTGGCGAGAAACAAAGATTTTTTCGTTTATGGCAGGAAACCGAGATTTTTTGTTTTTGGCGAGAAATTGAGATTTTGCATTGTTGGCAAGAAACCGAGAGTTTTCGTTTTTGGCGGGAAATCGAGATTTTGCATTTTTGGCGAGAAACCTAGATTTTTCGTTTTTGGTGGGAAATTGAGATTTTGTGTTTTTTGCGGGAAATCGAGATTTTGCGTTTTTGGCAGGTAACCGAGAGTTTTGTTTTTGGCGGAAAATTGAGATTTTGCGTTTTTGGCGAAAAACCGAGAGTTTTCGTTTTTGGTGGAAAATCGAGATTTTGCGTTTTTGGCGAGAAACTTAGATTTTTCGTTTTTGGTGAGAAACCGAGATTTTGTGTTTTTGCGGGAAATCAAGATTTTGCGTTTTCGGTGGGAAACCGAGAGTTTTCGTTTTTAGCGGAAAATCAAGATTTTGCGTTTTTGGCGAGTTTCGTCTTTGGCGGGAAATCAAGATTTTTCGTTTTTTACGAAAAATCGAAATTTTTTTTGTCTTAGCGGAAAATCGAGATTTTGTGATGTTTCTGGAAATCGAAATTTTGTGATGTTTGTAGAAATCAAGATTTTTATTTTAGTAAAAGCATTAATGTCTTTTACATAAACTAGATGCAAACGCTGTATCCGAACGCTCTATTTCTCAGCATCTATAATATCCAGATTTTTGAGATGCTAATCAATTTGCATCCAAATGCTGCATCTGAACGCAATTTTTTTTTTGAAAAACGAACAACATTTGAACATTTACGGCTAGATGCAGCATCCAGATACAAAAATGAACAGGGATCCTTGAAATAGTCCTCAGCTACCTTTGCGATCGCCTCATCTTTCTTGTGTATAATACCATGAGCATCTTTCACAAATTTGATACAGTTACGTAATCTTCTTGCTTTGGTAACTCCATGATAGAATTTGGAGTTTCTATCACCTAGCTGAAGCCATCTGTTCCTGCTTTTTAAAGGCCAAAAGAGTTCCTCATTTATATATGCTTTATTCAATTCCTTTCGCAAATTATAAACTGTAGAAGAGGGAACACTATTGTCTCTTACAGCAACATCAATCTGGTGATGAATCTTACTAATACATTGTGCTGCATTACTCCTGTTTCTTCTTTTCCATTTAGCCATCTCCTTTCTACATACAACCAGATGCGAAGCAAAACTATTACCATTTCCAACATTCTTTGTCCAGGACCTTCGAACTGTATCAGCAAAATCATCTTCAAAAAACAGTCTTTTATTATAACGAAACTGACCTCTTTTCACCCGAGCTTCATATTCAATTGATACGATCATTGGTCTGTGATCAGACTAGGCTAAGTCCAAAAATTCATTCTCAGAAGCTGGATATAAACTCAACCATTCTGAGTTTACCAAAACTCTGTCTAAGCAACACTCAACAACCCTACTTCTTGTTTTCCCAACCCAACTATACTGATTCCCTTTAAACTTCAGATCCGACATTCCACAAACTTGAATCATAGTTTTAAAATCACGAAAACTTCCTGCATTTCTTACTCTACCTCCTCTTTTTTCATTCTGATCTAAAATTTCATTAAAGTCACCACACATCATCCATGGTCCAGACCTAGATGTGGAAATTCTTTGAAGCTTTTCCCATAGATGATTTCGATATTTAGGCATAGGATTCCCATAGACACAAAACAAGTAAAACTTAAAAGATTTATATTCAATAGATAAGTCTACAAGCCTTGAATCAAAGGAAATACACTTAACCGAAACATAATTCTTCCAAAATACTGCTAAACCACCACTTAAACCATGCGGAGGAACAATCTGTATATCATCAAAACCCAACAACACACCTATGTCCCTAACATAGTTACTTCTTTGTTTTGTTTCCACCAGGAACAACAAGTCTGGGAGATACACCCTCTACATCTCCTGAAGACGTCGAACTGTCAGGAGTTGTCCTAAGCCTCGACAGTTCCAAACTTCAACTCTCATGGCACCAGCTCGGGCCCACCGCGCCTCTGTTATTGGGAGATGCAAAAGGCAGCACCTCAGCAGCATTGGAGTAGTCATCTTGGATCTTCATCAATGCATTTGGAGAAAAACAGGATCCATCGACAAACTTGTTACTTGTCCACCAACACTGGTAAATGATTTATTCCAATTTTTTAAAAATTAGGAAAAACAATTGCAAAAACGAAAAAGAAAAATATGTGGATATTGTCACGGTATTTTCGGCCAACCAAATAACTGGGCGGAGCCTGAAGGTCTACCATTTTATTTAGTTATATATTAATCTTTTTTTCAATTTGTTATTGTGAGTTTAGAATCTGACCTAGAAGCAAAGGTAGTTAGGGTTTTGTGCTTTTTCTCTCTGAGGTCGGGTGATTGTTGATCATCTGGTGGAGATGTCATCCAAAATTAGTGCAAAGAAGACGCGATCGTCGTCCCTGATTACGTTACTTCCCGAAGACATCATCATTGACATCTTAGCACGTGTACCAAGATGCAACTATCCAACACTCTCCCTCGTTTCTAAGCACTTCCGATCAATCGTTGAGTCCTCTGAGATATACGCGAGACGATCTTTGTTGGACTGCACGGAACACTGTCTCTATGTTGTCTTATATGACACAGAAACTGATGAAGACCGATGGTATATTCTCCGCCAGATAGGCAACGGCAGCCGCAGATTGCTCCTTCTCTCTTTGCTTCCCGCTATGCGTTACTGTAAAAGCTTTGTCGCAGTGGGTCCGAGGATATATATGTTTGGTTGGGACCAGAAGAATATGTCGTTAAGCATCGACTGCAGATCTCACACGGTGCAAACCCTCGCAAGCATGCCTGTGCCATTGTATAATACAATCGCTGGCATCATTGACGGGAGAATCTACGTAATTGGAATTTATGAATCGAAGGTGATGTTGGTGTTCAATACAGAAACACAAATGTGGGAGCATGAGATTATAAAGATAGACACTGAGCTACGCGCCATGTGGAACATGTGGTCGTATGGTTGTGTGGTGATGGCTGATAAGCTGTATGCGAGGGATGATAAGAACAGCTTTATTTACGACCCAAAGAAGATTAAATGGGAAATGGACCATATGCTGAATTCTAAGGCTTGGGTGAATGCGTGTGTAGTTGATGACGTATTATACTACCACGATACGGACGAGAACGAGATAAAAGCTTATGATCCAAAGCAAAAGTGTTGGAGTGTGGTGAAAGGTTTGGAAGAGTTTTTTTCTGAGGGGAAAATTTCAGTGTGGTCAAGGACTGTGAGTTACGGTGAGAAACTGGTTTTGCTTTTTCGTAGAACATTATCTTGCGAGATTTGTTGTGCGGAGGTTTCTCTGGAAAAAACCCAAGGAGGAGAGATTTGGGGTAAAGTTGAGTGGTGTGATCATGTTTTTACTGGTGTGAATTTACACTGGAATAAAGCTTTAGCTGTTGTAGTTTGATAAAGAAACTCTTTCTTCATATAACTTGTAGTTTAAGTTACTCTCTTATTGGCAACAATGGCTCACTTGTTCATTAACTGATTAGTTCCACACCAACAGCGAAATATCAACATTTTCATTAGAAGCAAATTGATCAGAATTGAAAAACATATATAGACTTCTCAGTTCTTGATTTCATTCTTTTCATTTTTCACATTTAGGATTTTAACGAATTTTTAGGTGAGAGCTCACATCTTTTAAGTCTTTTTAGTTTCATAGACTTCAAGCAAAGCTTGTTACGGGTTTTGCTTCATAAGTCTTTCCATAAGTACACATTGCGGTCAAGGTACGGTAAAAAAAGAATCCCCAAAAATAAAATATCCCAAAGAAATTAGAATCAATCAAAGCATCAGAATCAGAGTTTACAGTGGAAAACCGCAGAGAAAACGAAGAAGAAGTTGAAGATAACCAATTTTTTTTGTGGTGGCTGTAATCTTGATAACCAATTCAAGTAATTTCTTGTTTTGAAACAAGGAAAAGTCAGTGCAAGTGTGTGATATCGTGATGTTTACACTATTTATTAAAAAAACTTCGCGTCGTTTAACTCTTCCAAAAAAAGTCGTTTCTCATCTCTACAAATTTTAGACCAAAAAGAAAAATCTCGTTTTGTCTTCTTTAAGGCTGTCTTGTTTGTTTGTTCGTTCATTTTGGTTCTGTGTTTTTGTGACAGGAAATAGGAGATATTGAGAATTGGATGAAAACTGTGGAGTTTCACTGCAAGAAAATCACTGCTGCAATTCGCAGCATTCACGAAGATGACTAAGAGCAACTTTTTTTTTTTGGATCTGTTGTGATTCATTGTGTTGATATGTCTATATCGACAAGGGACAAAACAATAACTTAGTTCGAAAATTTGGATTTTATTAGATCGGTCGCGAATACAACTGAGTTCATCTATGTAAATGATAAACGAACTAAGACTTAGGAAATTAAGAAACTAATGAATGCCTTGAGCTCTCAATCTCCAAGTCTCTCGAGAATTTTCTGTATCTTCTGGTGTCGATTTCTCTTCCTTTATATATGTCTTCTAAGTTGGTCTTCGTGAGTCTTCTCTGCGATATAGGACCGAGAAGACTTTTCTTTTCTCTCAGTTTTTTTCCTTTTCTTATGGTAGTTTCCTTTTTCTACTCGGAAACTTTCTATTTTCCTCCGAACTCAGAGAACTTCTCGGTTCATTTGAGAAGTTTCTGACCAACTTCGGCTTGTTGGGCTACGTTCGGCCCAAGAACTCACTCGGCCCAATATTCTCGGTACATTCCCTTCGTAAACCAGGCTTACGTCGTGCCGATCTTGGTTTGTACCGGAGAAAACCCGGGGTGCGGTTTTCACCTCTAATAGTTAGCCTCCCCCCCCCCTCAGTTCGATGAAAGGGTACGGCTCTTAGTCGAACTCATTCGATCTAAACCTAAAGGTAGGTCACAAACCGAGCTCGGTAACTGCAATCGATTCACTTTCCCGGACGTTTCGCAATCTGTCTTCAATAAGGCGCGTGAATTCCGGGATTTCGCGAAAATCAATGAACCACGATTCCCACCGTTTATAAAGGAATAAATCCCCAATGCATTCATTATTCTCGCTCAAGCATATATAAGGTACGCTGCTCTCCCTTCTCTCTAGATTTTATTTCTCTCTCTAGGATTTTATTCGCAGTTCTCTCTAGTTTCTTCTACTTTCTCCGCCGCAATCTTTTGAATTTTCCGATCAATCTTCAAATTTTCCGATCAATCTTCAAGTTCTCCGATCCATCTTCAATCCTTCCGATCGATCTTCAACCTGTTCCTCATTTCCTTTAGATCTTCCTTCAACTCCGTTTCTCCGAACTCAGAATGTCTTCTAGCCCTTCAATCAACTCTTCTTCTAATCAAACTCTGCCGGAAGATCGTCGTGAATCTTCGGAACCGAGCTCTTCTTCTTCAAATCCTCCTTCACTGAACTCTTCTCAAAGGGAAAGTAATCCTCCACAGCTGGTCCGCAAGAATTCTAAATCGGCTGGTGTAAGTAGTAGCCGATCTCGACCGCGAATAGAAGCTCCTGAGCAACTGGCAACGGAGACTCGTGAAATCTGAAGAAGAGAATCCCGAAAGGAATGATACCGAAGTAGAAGCTGCCGAGGACAACCTTGAAGCGGTGAACCACGCATCACCACTAATTACAAAACGAAGAGTTGTCCGTCCTCATGACGTGCCGTCTTCTTCTCTTTCTCCGGGTGCAGTTCAGGCCGTACTCGAAGAAAACGGGCTCTCAGAGAAGGTCATCTTCATAATACCTGAAGCTGGAGATCGGCCATGGGACGTTCCCGAAGGCTTCCTCTGCATCTACCTGATGTACTTCACGCAATGCGGGCTCTTTCTTCCAATTCCCTCTCGTCTGCTCGGATATTGCAATCGGCGTGGCGTAGCTCTCACTAAGATGATACCGGCATCGGTGACGAACTACGTAGGCTTCGTCACTCTGTGTACTGAGCTCGATGAGATTCCGACTAGTCGGCTCTTCGAAGACATCTTCTCGGTAAATATCCACAAGTCCAAGGAGTGGTTCTTCGCAGCGAACGCCAAGCCGAAGAAAGACATCGTCACTGGGGTCAAACCCAGTAAATATAACGACTGGGAATCCCAGTACTTCTTCCTCGAGATGAACGATCTCACAGTCAGCAACTCTGACATCTCAACTCAATCGGAGTGGAAGATTCCGATTGGTAGATCTAGACAATTTTATACTTCATTGATTTTTGTTTTCGTATCTTTCTAACTCCTTTTTTGGTTCATCTTTGCAGGTCGTTATCTCCCAAGCATTCTTCTCAATTCTGGACTCACTCCCGAATTCCAAGCAGCTTTTAGTGAAGCCGGCAAACGTCGTTGGCCCGAAGTTTGGGAAGAAATTCTTCAGCGCCGAGCTAAGAAATCAGGTTTGATTAATAAGTTCACTTATATCTTCTTATTTTGAGTTTCTTCTGAACTCTCCCTTATACTTTTTTTTTACAGCTTCTGTCAAGGAACCGAAGCCCCTGAAGCCAAAGAGTCGAGCTAACAAGCCTCGAGCTGCTCCCAGACGGAAAGTGGCAAAACCGCAAGCTAGGCGAGCCCGAACTGCAAGAATGCTTTCACTCGATGAAATTCCCACTCTGTTCGACGAAGAGGAGCCGAGCGATGCAGCTATGAATCCCATCCCTAAGTAAGAGTTCTGATTTAATTCTCTTTTTCGCAGCTCGCCAGCTAGACCAACAATTTGGTCGCAGCGTATGAGGTTGCTCTGTATGATGAGCAAGTGAGAGTCGCCGAGCTAGAAGAAAGAATTTCTAAGGCGGAGGAGTGTCTTGCCACCGAGCTCCAGATCAATGATACTCTTCACACCGCTGTTGACCTGCTGAAGAAGAAGAGTTCGGAGCTTAAAGTCGTGAGAGCCGAACTGACCGAGGCGCAGGGCTTACTTTCTCGGGAATTCGAGAAAGATAAGGAACGACTGCAAGGTTTGGTGGCCCATTGGAAAGGTCGAGCAAAAAGCGTTCATGCGAAGGCTTGTGAACGCCTGGAAAAGGTTCTCCGCAGCTTGGATGACGCTGACCGTGTTCGTAAGCCTTACCTGGTGGTCAACCAGCTTACCGGAGTTCTCGGCTTCATAAAACAGCTGAAGAAGAAGGGTTTGTATGAAGTCCTGCCCGAGATGGTGGCCGAGATCGAGGCAAAGCATGCTAAGGCGCTACAAGACTTTCGTTCGGTTGATGCTTGCGTTCTCACAGAAGAGGATAAACGAATGTCTCCGATTCCAAAAGAGGATGATGATGCTCCGGTTGGGAACGTGACTCAAAGTGCGCAAGATCCAACGAGAGGCGAGCAGTTCGGCTCAAATGATGATATACTTAATGCCGATCAAGCTGCGACTTCGAAGACTGTTTAGTCTTTTTACTTTTTTCTTTAAGTCAAACTCAGTTGCCCTTTAATAGGTTATTTTATATGTTTATGTAATATTTTGTTTATTTCTGAACCCTCGGTGGGTTTCTTTATTTTTCGAACTTATTTGCCTTTCGGAGGGCTTTAATTATATGCTTTTTCGTTATATCTTGAGTATATTTTTCTTTATTGCTTCGTAAAATCTGTCAAGTAGTAGATCGGTGTTTAGTTCGGACTTAATTTTATCTTTTGGTAGCGAATTGCGTTAATTCGGCTTATATGTGCAAATGTTGAGAACTTGGCTTATAGTGTGAGGAGTTCGGCTTGTTGTGAAAGTATTAAAGCTCGGCCTGGGGAACCCAAGTGAGTCGTATCGTACTAGAAGAGTGAGTTTGATCGAACTCTTGTAAACGCACGAGACGAGCTCAAGGTTTTCTAAGTCGAACATAAGTATGCGAGATGAGCTCGGCTTATTGTTCTTGGTGACTTAGAATTTTTAATGCGGGACTGGCCCCGGCTTTTTAATGTGGTTTTTACCACGGCACCATATGAGTGTTCGCGAGACGGATCTCGGCTTTTTAAGTTTGCATTCATGTGGAATGCTATCGAACAACTGGCCAGGAAGTCGATGTTAAAAAGTAGGAGTTTGGTATCTCGTTATTACCGAACTAAAACTTAAACGTTTTTACTTAATAAAATTTTATTGATGTTATAGCTGGACTCGGTAACGAGCTGCCTACGTACCCTTTAAAAGGGATCAAGCCATTCGTAGTTCTAAGTACAAAAATGGATTTTGCTCCGAACTAAGTAGTTCGGAGGCTCCTTTTGTTTTTTTTTTTTTAGATCGAAAATTCGAACTAATAGTAGTATTGTTTGAGATGCATTGAGTTCCAAGATCGCAGGATTGGAGTGCCGTCGAGCTTCATGAGTTGATAAACGCCGGGTTTAACAACCTTCATTACTTGGTATGGTCCTTCCCAGTTCGCGCCGAGCTTTCCAGCGTTCTTTTCTTCTGTGTTCTGATAAACTTTGCGAAGCACGAGATCGCCATCTTCGAAGTGACGGCCTGTAACCTTCTTGTTGTAGTAACGAGCTGCCAGTTGTTGATAGTTTTGTATCCGGAGTAACGCTTGTTCTCGGTGTTTCTCGACTAAGTCAATTGTGTCTAGCATCATATCTTTATTCGCGTCGGGTTGCTGAGTGAGCATGGTTCGGCGAATACTAGGAACGTTGAGTTCAGCTGGACACATAGCTTCCGTACCATACGCGAGGAAGAAAGGTGATTGACCGGTGGAACGTCGTGGTGTAGTTCGATGGGACCATAAGACGCCATCAAGTTCGTCCGCCAAAGTTCCCTTAGCCGTATCCAATAGCTTCTTCAGACCATCGATAATGGTTTTGTTCGTGGCTTCGGCTTGCCCGTTTCCTCGTGGGTATCGTGGGGTAGAGAAACTTAGGCGGATTTTCCACTTGGCGCAAAAATCTGTGAAAATTATTGAAGTGAACTGGGTTCCGTTATCTGTGAAGATCTCATACGGGACACCGTGTCGGCAGATGATAAATTTCTAGACGAACTTTTTGACGTCAATGCCGTGTATCTCGGGGTATGCCTCGGCTTCGACTCATTTGGTGAGGTAGTCGGTAACGACCAGAACGTATTGCTTCTGGGTCGTAGATCGGCGAAATGGACCGATGATGTCCATTGCCCAACGCATGAAAGGATATAGTGCGGTCGAGGTCATCAGTAGTTCGGTAGGAAGGTTGATCATCGGGCCATGACGTTGGCACTTCTCGCAGCGTGCAAGATACTTTTTGCAGTCGGAAAGCATAGTAGGGCCAATAATAACCGGCTTTTTTGATCTTAAATGCCAAGGAT